CAAAAAAAAAAGGTTTGAGTTGGCCATTCACTGACCACGATTTCAGAGCTTCTGTTCGTGTGAGCTCGCTCATATTGATGCCGGTTAAAAAAGAAAGGTTACGGTAGGCTGACAAACATGATAAATTCTCACTACAGGTGCTCATCCGTAAAAAAAAAAACAATTACTAACTTAAAAGCAAAATAAATTATTTGTATAATGGATTAAAATTGCCTATTATAACATAGTAAAATGCTACATTATACACTTTGTCAACACATATAAGTTAAATCTTTCTCATCCTTAGGGTCGTTTGGTTGGGAAATAAGTTATCCCATAATTAATTATCCTGGATAACTTATCTTGGGATTAGTTATTCGACCCTCCCATAGAGATAAAAAAACACTACAATTCCGGGTTAGTAATCTCGGGATTAGTTATACCACTATTTATCTCAATCAAATATGGGATTAACCTATCTCAAATTTAATCCGAAAATTAATTATTCCTTGTCCCCGTATCAAACGAGTCCTTAGTGCCCACGAGCAATTAGCTGTAATTGGGAAAGACCCATTTCTCTCATATTCGCGTCCACGTACATTTAATCTATCTAACCGGTCGCTATTGCCGCGTCCATATGCACCTCTCAAATGTCTAAATTAAATCTATCATCCTCAACATATTTCCAACTTTACCCCTACATACTATACTCATTATCACTAATCATTCATTTGTACCTACCAATGTCTCACACCCTTTTTAGTAAATTTACAAAATTAGTCAATTATTGTTACATACTTTAAAAAACCAGGGTATAGAAACATAAAAACACAACAAAAACAAGAATCCTACATTCATTGTCTCTGAAATGGCTCCGGCAAAAAATGAAGCTGGAGCTGACATTCCTCTATTGCCAAAGACAAAATCTAATACAAGAGAAAATCAACTACTGATTTTAAGAGCAGTTTTTAATGTTTCAACAAGTATTATTGGTGCTGGAATTATGTCTGTTCCAGCAACTCTGAAAGTCTTAGGTGTAATTCCAGCTTTTATATTGATTGTGTTGGTTGCCTTGTTGGTTGACATATCGGTTGATTTCATGTTGAGGTTTACGTATGCGGGCGATTCGAAAACTTATGCTGCATTAATGAATGAGTCTTTTGGGAAGATTGGTTCTGTTGCAGTGCAAATTGCTGTTATGTTCACCAATCTTGGTTGCTTGATTATGTACCTTATTATTATTGGTAAGTATAAATTTAACTTCTTGATTCTATAACTTTGTTTTTTATGTGTGAGATATGGTTTGTCTGAATGAAGCAAGTCATATCTGCTTTTCATCGGCCGGGTTTATTGGAAACTGTGTCTCTACCTAGGGGTAACGTCTGCGTACACAACACCCTTTCCAAACCTTAATTTGTGGGATTATACGGGTTTGTTGTTGTTGTTGTATATCTGGCTTTTCATCAACTTCTAGAGCCAAAAACTATTAGGTTATTTCTTCTTTTTTTTTTGTTGAAATCAAAGTAAAAGCAAAATTAGTACTGCTTCTGTTCCAATTTATGTGTTGATGTTTGTCTGGTACGGAGTTTAAGAACGAAAGAAAAATATTTGAAACTTACAATCTAAAACAAGCCATTACTATATGTGGTTGTAAATCATCTCGTTAAGGGTAAAATGTGAAGTTTGAAGTTAAATTGCTACTAAATATAGAAAAGTGTCATTTGTTTTTGGACTGACTAAAAAGGACAGAGTGTCACATGAACTGAGAAAGGATGGAGTATATATTTTGAAGTAGTTTGAGGTTGAAAAGGTAATCATGGACTGATCAACAGTAGTTAATTGTTGAATGATTCTGTAGATAAAGAACAATAGAGCTTTAGTATCGTTTTATACATTTTTTTGGTGGATAACCTGGTGTCCACGCCAGCTTGCGCGGCACCTCGACTAATTTCACGTAATACCTGCTATCTCCAATCTATCTGTACATGTTGAATTACATGATTTTCCTATTTCTTGTTTTTGGACTTACCTTTTCTGGAGCTTTTTCTAATAATTATCTGATGCATCACTAAAGTTGAGATATATGCTTAGGAATTAAGTTGAATGGAATTGAGTGATTGATTCAACTGGTAATAGTTTCTGTTATTTTCTATGAGCAGGAGATGTTCTTTCTGGACAAGGAGAACATTTTGGTGTTCTACAAGAATGGTTTGGGATTCATTGGTGGAATTCCCGTAATTTCGCCATCCTCTTCATTGTCTTGTTTGTTATGCTTCCTCTAGTCCTCTATCGACGTATTGGTTAGTACATATACCTTTTTTCTACTTGTCCTAGACGATATATATGTGTCCGAACCAGTGAAGAATCGCTGACATTTTGTATTATGTGGCGCGTGATTGCAGAATCATTGTGGTTGAGTTCAGCATTAGCAGTTCTCCTAGCAATTGTATTTGTTGTCATATGTTCGGTAATGGTAATTATAGCAATCCTAAAAGGAAAAACAGTAAGTCCAAGAATGTTACCTCAGATGGATAATCAAACATCTTTCTTCAACCTTTTCACCGCCGTCCCTGTCATTGTTACAGCATTTACATTTCACTTCAATGGTAAGAAGAAAGAACTCTACTTTCGTTTCGATTCTTGTTTAGTTTTATGTCAACTTTGATCACGAATGTGACATTATAACTTGTTATGCAGTTCATCCTATTGGAACTGAGCTGGGAAAACCAGCAGCTATGTCGTCCGCTGTCAAGATTTCATTAGTACTATGTGCAGCTATCTATTTTTCAATTGGCATTTTCGGGTACCTTTTATTCGGAGATTCAATCATGCCAGACATACTTGTAAATTTCGACAAATCATCTGGTACTTCAGCAATCAGTTCAATGCTAAACGACATAGTTCGTTTGAGCTATGCATTTCATCTAATGCTGGTGTTTCCTCTCTTGAACTTCTCCTTAAGGGCCAATATAGATGAACTCATTTTCCCTAAGAAGCCCTTTTTGGCCACTGACAACAAACGATTCGTGTCTCTTAGTTTGGTTTTGTTAGCCTTCTCATATATAGCGGCCATTTTTATCCCGTCTATATGGTACATTTTCCAGTTCATGGGATCAACTACTGGTGTTTGTCTTGCTTTCATATTTCCAGGTGCAATTGCCCTGAGGTATCGATCTTTCTCTCACTCGTGTTTACTCCTATAATGATTTTAAGTTATTTTCGTTCTTTTATCTGTGTTAATATATCGGTTTCTTGTTTGGCAGAGATGTTCATGGTATATCTTCGCGAAAAGATAAGATCATTGCAGTGATCATGATTGTCCAAGCAGTTGTGACTAGCCTTATAACAATTGCTACAAATATCTACAATATGAGTGGAAATAGTTCGTAGTTTCTTGCTTGTCAATATGATTTTTTTACATTTTTTAAATTTTTTTCATAGATGAGTTTGTTTGTATTCTTAGGATTGAGGCGTAGCTGTTATTGTTGTTGTCGAGTTTGTCTGTATTATTATGTAACACTATCAACAATGTCCAGCATTTTTGTGTGAATACAAGATTCAGCCAAACTTAGGATTATGAAGTTCATTTTTCCTTATGTACAAAACAAAGATTCATTTCTGAACATCCTTAAAGCTGAAATGCCACTCATCAGAAAAAAGGGCAGCCCGGTGCACTAAGCTCCCGCTATGCACGAAGTCCGGAGAAGGGTCGAACCACAAGGGTCTATTGTACATAGTCTTACCCTACATTTCTGCAAGAGACTGTTTTCACGGCTCGAACCCGTAATATCCTGATCATATGGCAGCAACTTTACCATTTACGCCAAGGTTCCCATCAAATGCCACTCATTAGACATCCATAAAATTAGATGTCTGATTTCCTTTGTATTAAGAAGAGGAAAAACATACTTCCCAATCAACAAAGTGTATGGAAAAATGCATAAAAATTTCCCTCTTGGCAGGAAAACAGAAACCATGCATAGAAGAGATACTTAACAATAACAGCAACAACAACAACTAAAAATCCAGTGTAATCTCACAAAGTGGGGTCTGGGCGAGGGTGGAGTGAACGGAGACCTTAGGCCGACCTTAGAAAAGATGCTTAAAATTATACTAATATCTTCTGTTTCCTAGTTCTCTCCAAACAAGACATCACAGACCTTATTTCAGATAGTATATAGAAAATATAGCAATTGATTCAAACACAACACAAAGACTCAATATACTCAAAAACACCAGCTGCACTAAAAAACCAAACTTGTTCATCTCCAACCTCATCATCACATAGCTTCTCATAACTCTTGCTTACAAGATTGTACCTTATCGCCTTACAATCACCAGGAATTCCCAGTACCATAAATGCATCCTCTTCTCGTCTACCTCGAACCAGAGATAATATCGCGAAGTTATAGTAATCAATTTCAAAAGGATCAAGATATGTATTAGTCATCATAGGAAAAGCAGAAGCAATAGGATGAAGATCAACCTTGTACTTAACAAACCATTCTGAATAGTCCCTTTTCATCTCATATACATCAAACTGGATTTGTGGATTAGAAATTTGTATAAGGTGCAAATGATCACAAGATTCACCGAAATAGCTAATGGTTACTGATACGTAGTTATCGGGCACAGGTGGCATTGGTATTACTCCTAAACTCTCAAGATCAATATTGTAACATAAAGAATTCAAGTTGCCAATAGTACTAATCCAATGAATTGATCCATTCCAATAAACCCCTTTACTAAAATTAACATCAGCGATAAATGGACCGCCTGATAATCTCCAGGGACCTGTTTCAGATGAGTAAATTTCAATCTGATAATGTTCAGGAGACGACACTGAGTTGCGGATACAAATTACTTTATAGCGAGGAGACTTGATAGGGTCAAAAGCTAAACTTAAACCATGAATATTGGAATTTTCAGTTCCAAGAAATGATTTTGGAAGTGTTGTGTAATGTTTTGTAGTAGGGTTATAAACATAGTAATTTATAGGTTGACGAATTCGGTTACTGCAACAAAGTAATAGTCCGTTACAAGATTGTAGAATAGTAATGCCAGAAGGGTCCTTAGTAAATTTGAGTTTCTTGAATGGTGGCTTTGTGAGATTTTGGCTATTAAAATGGACATAATCAAACTTGGGTTTTAAAACATAAGAGGGCAAGAAAAGGCCTATAGCAGGATTTGGATTAGGGTGACAAAGGATAGAAAATTTTGGATTAGTAATGAGAGAAAGCCAATGTTTGGATACTGTTTTGAAGTAGAGAAGTGATGTTATAGGTAGGTGTAATAAAATTTGAATCAAGAGATCATCAATAGAAGCAACTATTTCAGCTGATGTTGGTTGTTCTAACTCTGCAGTTTTGGGAATCTTGATTTTGAGACCTTGCATTTTTAGTGTGATAGTACTAGTTTAATTTTTTGGTTATGTAGAAATGCAGATGAAGGTATATTTAATATGTACATCAAGGTAAAGATTGCTTGGCAAGTTTCATTATTTGATTAAGTTGACAACCACTTGTGTCATGGCCCTTTGACAAGGTCAATATGATGTGAACAGATGACCCACTTCTTATCCCCTTATACTTTTCTTGATTTGATTATCATTAGGGGTAGGTATTGAATTCAAGAAAAACAAAAAATGTATAGTAGAGACCTTGAAACTAGTGAAAATGCAGTCCTGTAAAAAAAGTAAAAAATAAATCTCACCTGCAAGTTGTTGATTCTTACTTAGATTAGTGATCATAAAGAGACTGGAATTTAACTTATATATATTGACAGTGTAATTTTTTTTTATATTGATTTTAACTTTGAGTAACAGGTAACCTGCCTTATTTTTCAGTTTTATGTTCTCAAATTCTCTCCCTTATGCCGTAGTTGTATTATATTACTGGGGAAATGGCATGAGTGCTTTGATTAAGCAGTTCTGGAACAAGGCTGCCGCATCAACACTGAAAAAAATCTGTGGTGCCAAAAATTTCACAATCTGGTAGAATTGTCTGCTTCTTTTTGTGTATAAGGTGTCTTGATAGCCGTCAAAGCGACACCTATAGAAGGTAAGTAAATTAGCTTCTGCTCTTATACTAAATGTAGCTTCTCTAGTCCAAATTTATTCCTAAAATGAATTACACGTACAATGTATGTGCATTTTTTTTTATGCACGTGCTATGTATGTGCACAAAGACTAATGTTTTATATTAACGTTAGACCTTCAATAAGAAAAGGTTTTTGAGGAGTTCATTTATAGTATTAAATCAGAATTTGATAATTTTATTAGTTATTTTTACCTGACATTATATTATTCTTGGGAAATATTTAATAGTGCTACTGCCATCAACTACATCGTTTCAACATCGCGATCTTTAGGAATAAATCTATTCCAAAGCCAATGTTGCTTTTAGATTTCTTACTTAATGCTTCACTATCTTTCTTTTTTCTATCGGGTAACAACTTGTGGATTGAGAAGCATAATCCTAGAGTAAGAGCTGCAAAAAGCACGTATATCCAAGCTATGAGAGCACAAAGAAGCAACAAAATCACTGGATTCATGACCAGTGACATAAGCAAATATATATATGCTCGTCTCCCAAGATGCATCTAGTGCTCGGATCTCATCAGGGTAGCATGACTCAGTCCAATCACAAGGCCAAGAGAAAATTAAATATTGCAGACTATAAGGGAGATGGCAATGTTATGCTAATATAAGCACTCTATCAGCTCAGCTAAAAGATAGGATCTCCTACTGAAAGAAAGAGACCCAACAAAGAAACATGCGCCAAAAGCATACTTAAGCATGCAGAGATCACCAGAGTAGTCAACCGAAGAAGTTGTTACTCAAATAATTAAGTTTGACAACTCCAGCTCTAACAATTCCGGCAATGATATGAGCGACGAACGAGGCGTTATATATGTATCTAGCTGATTGAAGAGATAAAAGTTCGAAGAAGATTGAGTCTAAACCCAACACTAGCGAGAAAACTTAGGCAATATGTTACCCACTAAAAGTGGTGAATGTAATAGCTTCCTCCTTTCCTTGCCTTTTATTTTCTATCAAGCCCGCCAACATCTGCAACTATACTTCTGCTCAACTTTTCTTGATCTCTTGAGGGATTCTTTTTCCTCCTCCAGACACCCTTTCTTAATGAGAAACTCCGGAGTCTCATTAAGAAAGAAAGACAATACAAGCAGTGGAACTACAAATGCAAATAACCAACACCATCCATATCAAAATTGTGAGACGTTACCATATTTACACCTTTTGTCATTTTTTATGCACATGTGTACCTATGTGCATCTTTTATGCACGTGCAACATACGTGCATAAAGGATAGTATTTGTATACGCGACAGACTTTTAATCAGATAAGATTTGAGAGGACTTTTATTCATATTATAAAATCAAAGAAGGATCCAGCTCGAACAACTTTGATAATGATATGAGCAACAAACGAGGCGTTATATGTGTATCTAGCTGATTGAAGAGACAAAAGTTTGAAGAAGATTATTGAGTCTAAGCCCAACACTAGCGAGAAAACTTAGGCAATATGTTACCCACTAAAAGTGGTGAATGTAATAGCTTCCTCCTTTCCTTGCCTTTTATTTTCTATCAAACCCACCAACATCTGCAACTATACTTTTGCTCAATTTTTTCTTGATCTCTTGAGGGCTTCTTTTTCCTTCTCCGGACACCCTTTCTTAATGAGAAACCCCGAGGTCCCATTAAGAAAGAAAGAAAATACAAGAAGTGAAACTACAAATGCAAATAACCAGCACCATCCATATCGAAAATTGTGAAACGTCACCATATTTACACCTTCTGTCATTTTTATGCACATGTGTACCTATGTGCATCTTTTTATGCATGTGTAACACACGTGCATAAAGACTAGTATTCATATAAGTGTTAGACCTTCAATCGGATGAGATTTGTGAGGACTTTTATTTATATTATAAAATTAAAGAAGGATCCCTCTCGAGATAATAATAATAATATACTTGATACACTTTGGTGATTTTTCGACATTGATCTCTTGCAATATTATGGGAATCACCATGATATAGAAATGCGGCTACATCCAATGATTGCTAGGCATGTTGATGCCACAACATTATTTGGAAACCAATACATAAGGATACTTCCAACTAGGTAAAGTATCGATCAAAGAACAAGTACTAGCTTCCGCTCCAAGACTACATCATTCTATGAGCAACCTATACAGATCGAATGGCCAAAAGCTGCATGGTGGATTAGTCATACATTTATATAGACACAAAAATTATTTGAAGGCTTTTATTGATCTTAGGTGAATTTCTATAGAGAATCTAACGATGAAGCCTTCAATGCCAACAGTACCACCATTGATATTCAAGGCATAAGATGGTTAGTCCCTAAATATTGGTATTAAGTTGCTAGCATTGACTCTTGGAATTTTTAGTGCACTGTTATTTTGGACATAGTTATTATATTTAAATTAAGGGTAATGTCTGCGTACACATTACCTTTCTAGACCCTCACTTGTGAGATTATACTGATTAATTATTGTTGTTGTTATTGTCGAAATTCAAGAAATTATTGTTAAAAGGGAAACTTTTAAGTTACTTAAGCGTCCGACCAAAATATGAAAGAAGAAAGAAGAGAGTTTACTCGATAAACTTCATACACTCCACGAGTTTTTGTACACCTAGAAAAATAAAATTGTAATCGAATTTTAACATAGGTCATCCAACATTTAGTATAAATGATGAAATTTTAACATAGTTCATCTATTTTCGCATAAAATAATTAATCAATTCAATTCATGCAATTAAAAAGGGGAATTTTGGAGCAACTATAAAGTTGTCTTCGTATGACCTATAGGTCACTGGTTTGAGTTGTGGAATCAGCCATTGATGGTAGACCTTCTGCATCATATCCCCTTGGGGTTTGGCTTTTTTCCCGAACCGTGCGTAAATGCGAAATACTGCATGTATTGAGCTGCCCTTAATTAATAAAATTATAACCCTTGCATGATCTACAACATAGGAATACGAGGAACTATGCATCGATAAAAGAGAACTCAAATTCGATCACGAATCAAACTATACAAGAATAATTAATTAAAAAAGATTGGGAGTATGTAATCTTAATAAACCAAGTATACTAACCGATTTTTTTTCTTTCTTGCAAACGTTGCTGAGCGATATTTACTTCAAATTGACTGCCTCTTCGAACGAATTTAACTGCATGTGGGCTCTTTTCTTTGCATGTGCCCTTTTTCCTTTTTCCTTTTTCCATTTTCTTTCTTTTTTCTTTTATGCTTAAACTTTGGAGTTTTTTTCTTTCCAAAATTAGTTTACACGGCATTTGCATCTATACCCGTTTTTTGTGTCACGTTTTAACTTGTGTCCGCTTTGCAAAAAAAATTACAAGCGTACCCGCTTTTTCGCATAACTTCAACATACGGGACTGAAGTAGCAAAGACAATCACGCAAAACTTCAGCATTCTAGTAGACGGGCCTAAAGTAGCAAGTGTGCTGAAGTTTTTGTTTTGTAACTGGCGAACTTCAGCTCTAGAGCTGAAGTTTTTGTTTTTGTAACTGGCGAACTTCAGTTTTAGAGCTGAAATTTTTGTTTTGTAACTGGCGAACTTCATCTCTAGAGCTGAAGTTATTTAGTTCATTTGTAAAAACTTCAGCACTATTTATGTTTGTTTGGGATCTTGGTCATTTGTATTTTTTTGTAATTATGCAACAAGAAAAGATAACGAGAGTATGCACAAATCTAATAACTCATCATCATTCACTGATCAGTAAAGTCACCAATTTCAACAAAAATCTTGCAACTGAAACTAACGTGCCTCTGAACTAATTGGTTACATCAGCAAGCAACATAGTCTAAATTTACTATTACATAGCTTTGAAAGAAGAAAAAAGGGAATGATAGTACAAGGGTCAAAATACAGATGACCAAGATCCCAAACAAACATATACACCAAGAATCTACTCATCTAATATAGTTACAACTAGTTATTTAGTTCATTTGTAATAATTTATAATTTATTTTTAAATAATCTGATAAACATATTTATGGCAATCATCTCATAAACTGATGTTCCATAACAGCACCAACGGAAGAAAGGGGGTTGAAGTTATTTAAAAAGTGGGTACAAGTTAAAAGTTTTTAAAAAAAATGGGTATATGTTAAATGGGGGCGACCTATTTGGTCGCCCCGTGCAATTTTTATGCAAATTTCTTTGATACTACAAGAAATTACCCTTTAGTCGCCACAACATTCCTAAGAGTCTCTGCCAAAATGTATTAGTGGCGACTTTTGTATTGCCACACGGAAACCCGTAACTGAAGGTTATTTGTGGCGATGTTTTGTAGTCGCCACTAACAGAACATATTTTGTGGCGACATAGTTGCCACAAAAGGTTGGAAAAAACGCTACAAA